TAATATTTATTATATTTTTAAACTGTACTATTTAATGAACAAACTTGGACTAAAAAACACCATCCCCATATTATACTTTGCGCTGGTGGTATGCAAAAAACAGGGGAAGACAGATCAACAACCTCAATTTTACCCTATACACACACACACACACACACATTCTGTCCTCAAATTTTTGGGAATTAGATAATACTGTGGAGGGTCCTGCAGTGAAATGTGCAGAATGTTGAAGGCAGCGATTGGGAAGACAGATGTTATTGAAACCGATTTTTTTTTTTTTTTGACATATTGACGCAAATACTACTTACAACTGCATCAAATCTCATTCTTAAAAACATTTATTAGGTAAATATTGTATATGAATAACAAGTAAGTTCTCATCATCCTTGCATATTCTGCTTCTTGCAATTCTTTCATGTTTGTACACAAAAATGGTTGCAGATAAAATGCAAGTTTGAAATCATCATCTCCAACTGTAGGTCTCTTTTTTACTTTGCAAACTTGACATCTGGATTTCTTATTGATTTCAGCCACATGTCGGCCGTTACCCTTGAGGATATGCTCCACAACAGATCTTGCCCCTTTGATAGCACTTGTTTTCCTCTCTTCCCAGCCTTTCCCAATCCATATGCTACTAGCCACTGCATGGCAGTCAGCCTCTGCTTCTCACTGTCCCACATATTCCTTTTTCCTGCTGTCCTTACCTTCAATCCTCCAACATGCAGACTTGTAATTTTGAATCTTTTCTCCTCTTCATACTTGTTTGCTTTCATGTCATCTTGTGCTGCTGCGTGAATGAGTGCTATCATTGGCCCTCCAACTGCCTCATATCGCCTCAGTGGATCTCGCAGCTGGATAACCACTGCCAGTGTAAGTGTTGCAGGGTCTCCTAGCTCGGTCTCAGAAGAATTCAAGCCATAATTTTTAACCCAATTTTCAAGTGGGACAGAAGATGATAGGGGGTGATCCTTATGTTTTCCACTGCCTGTCACTGAAGAAACATCGAATGGAGCTTCTTCCTCAGCCATTTCTGCCTGAATTTTCAATGCTTCAACTGACATTGCCTCAATCTTCTGCAATGAGAATGCCAGAACCTCCTCTGCTGTCAATGGATTTTCATTCACATTCCAAATTCCTGTTAAAATCCTCTCTTTCCTGCCTGTACTGATTGCAGCCACCATGGTTTTGACAGCAGCAATTGTACGAGCTGCACTAGAGCTAGCACCTTCCTTATTTCTCCCTTGGATGATTGCAGAAGCAACACCTTCAAAAGCCATCTGTTCTGCAGTTTTTCCCATGAGCTCATCCATGGGCATTAGAGATAAAATCCGAGAGCTGAGTTCCTCAAGCCCATCACCTGCCATCCTCTGAAACAATTCAAACCCGCTTGTTTGTTTATCAGATGGCAGAACAAATGGTTTTGATATCTGCATTGCTAGCTTTGGTGTGTCTTTTCTCAAAACTGCAGTATCCAAAGGATTCATGGCAGCTAAGTAGCCTCCATCTCGAGTCTGAACCACACAGACTAAGCCCTTTCCAAGGTCTGGGAGGTACACTTTCGAGTCAGCTTCTGTAGAATCCTTTGCCTCATCAAGCTGAAGAGGTGGAATATCAGGTTGGTTGAGTTCGAGTGATTCCTTACCATCTTCATCCTCAAGCAACTGAAGAAACTCCCTCGTTACAGTTTCTTCGTCTGCATCAAGTCTTTGTGATTCCATTTCTTCGTCTGCATTCACTATTTTCTCCTCTCCAATCATCGACTCAAGAGCTTTAATCTGCCGAGCTATTGAATCCAGCTCCGATAATCTCATCAAATGTATTTCATCATGCAGCACTTCCTTAACAACTTCACCTGATGCAAGACTTCCTTCGGATTCTCTTTCGCCAGCCTCTTTCTCTTGTATCTCAACTCCCTTATCTACAACCTCAAAGTCAGGGAGATCAAGATCATCCATCTTTTCTTTTTCTTTTACAGACACAGAGGGTTGAGGAGCAGGAGCTGGTTCATCGAGATTCAAATCATCCATTCCTTGAAGATCAGCAGCTCTTCCTGCCCGTGAAGGAGTCCAGGAGGCTTCATTTCGACCAGTCATCCTCGGACTGGGGACACTGAAGGATGTTTTCGATTGCTTGCGTCCTAAACTGGATGGCAGAAATTTCGATTTACTATCATTTGTCTGATTAAATATTCCAATACCCCCATCTTTTTCCATGATCTGAAACCCCAATTTCAAAACAAGTTCTCCCCCTTTTGCCTTTCCGTAAAGATTGAAACTTACATCCCATTGACGAATCCGAGTTCCTTCAAAGCTCTTCTCCATGGACTCATGAATCAGGTGGGTTAAATCCACAGAATTTCGTCCGAAATCAAGTTCTTCCGCATCCACTGCAAACAGATAAATCCAAAACGGCCGGGGCTGGAATTTGAGCTGCTGCTTTCCGCTACCGGGGTTGCAGTATACGTGGCACTTCACGAACAGGGTCTCTTCAAAATCAGCAGCTCCCTGTGACACTCTCGCCGGCATGGTATGAACAGCACCGTCCTTGGTTTCTTTCTTTCTCACACAAACAGACAACCGGAGGCCGTTCATGGACGCCGGTAGTCCCTGAGCAGCCACTATTTCGACTGAGAACAAACAGCTCAATTTCTGCATTCCAATATGGGAAAGAGCCCGGATGGGTTTCCAATTCCAAATCCCCTTTTTCTCCCCCGTACCTTCTCCGTCCAACAGTTTCGCCTGCGAAGCAGAAGTCTTTTCTCGATCCCTTTTTTCCGTTTCTTCATCAAGCTTTGGCCGAGACCGCCATGGCGACAGAGACATCCGGCGGCGCAGCCTGGAACTCGATCTCTCCTCGCCTTTCGGCAGACCCTCGTCATTGGAAGACGAGACTAACGGAACAGAGGTCCGAGGAAGGACAAGGGAAGCAGTCCGGCGAGTGTTAGACGTGTGAGCTTGGTAAAGAGACTGACTGAGAGCCTCGAGCTCTTCCAAAAGCTGGGTACTGGAGTTTCTCCCCTCTGCATGGTCCCCTGCCATTACCAAAGACGAAAGAATCAGTGAAGCTCAGAGATGGAAGAAAGGAAGGAAGGTAGAAGATAAGGATTGAACACAGGAGCGTATGTGAATATGAGGTGCAGAAGAAGGCCCCATAAATTGGAGTGGTGAAACGTGTGAAGGATAAGAGGAGAACGTTTGTGATTTCTCTCTCGCTTACTGTCTGAAAAGGACAGACTGAAAACAGGGGTCATCCAAATCTGGTCCAACGCAAAATTTATTGCCTTCTTCTGGTTTCGGTTGTTCCACACGAAACTTCGTTTCTCACTTAATTACTTGGTCTTAATGTGGGAAGTTTGCTGCCATAGTGGCATATACACGTGGTGCAGCTGTTCAGGCCCATGTAGTTTCCCAAAAAAACCTGAATTTTAGAATTTAAGAACTTTTCATTCTTCTTTCTCAATCAAACCCAACAAGATTCCAACCATCAGGTAATTTGTCCTTGAAATTGTCTTGAGGATGTTTTAAAACGGCTAGGTCCTCCTTAGAGGATATTTAAGCTCGTTGATATCAGAGGTGCTTTCTCTAAAATGAATAGAATTCTTTTAATTATTTTTTATTTTCCTAATCTCATATTTCCCTCCATTCAAAAAAAACTAGTCCTTGAGTTGTGCAGTGCTTTTTCTTTTTCTTTTTTAAGTGGTTTACAGGATAGGCTATATATTAAAATTATAGTTTATTCTATAAATTTATTAAAATATTTCTAATAAAATTATTTTTTATACTATTTCATTAAGGTATATAAATAAAGATTAAATTATCATTTTGGTCATTTTACTTTAATAAAAGCCCTTTTTAGTCCCTCTACTTAAAAAAATCCCTTTTTGATTCCTTAAGTTTGAAATTAAATATTTTTTAGTCAAATTTTGCATACCTAGCATGTTAAATGACAAAATTTCAAAGTAAAGGGTCAAAAAAAGAGGCTAAAACTAACCCATTTTTGGTCTCTCTAGTTTAAAAAAAAAAACCAATTTTAGTCCTCTCTATTTTAGGATTTCTATTAAGATAATGTGATACAGGATAAAAATTTAACATAATGACTAAAAAGGAACCAAGTTTCAAACTTTAAGGACAAAAAAAGAATTTTTTTAAGTTAAGGGACTAAAAAGAGGTTTTTTTAATCAAAATAAAGGGACCAAATTGAGGTTTTAATCTTAAATATAAATTCATAAGAAAAACTGTATTTTTAATGTATAGTTTGCCTTGAAAAACTTGAATCTCTCTTCTTCTTTTTTTTTTTTTTGAAAATCTATTTGAGTAATTTTCACTTGGTATTATTTAGCTGTAGCATCCATTTTTCATTAGGTTGGCTTTTTACCTCCACAATTTCGATATTAAAAATAAAAAGTTGAATGATGCAATGGATTAATTGGCCAAATATTAGTTTGAGGACCTAATTAAGAAAAACTATAAGTTTGTGAACTGAAAGCGAGGTCTTTCAATTAGTTTAGGAAAGGCCCAAATTGTTTGGGCCTTCAGTTACATGGTGCTCTGCTTGCCACGGATTTGTAGGACCAGACGAATGAACGGGACAGTAACCGGAATTAGAGGCGGCGCGGCGGATTTTTTTGAAAAGGTTAAAACCTTAATTTAGTCTCTCTACTTTGACAAAAACTTTTTTTTAGTCCCTTTATGAAAAAGTCTTTTTTTAATTCCTAAAATTTGAAATCTGATTATTTTTTAGTTTATCCGTTAAGTTTTACATATGTTGTACATTAGATGATAAAAATTTTAAAATAAAAAGACTAAAAAAAGAAACTTTTTTGACCTTTTTTATCCCTTTTTTATCTTTCTATTTTGGTAAAAAAATTTTTTTTGATCTTTTTACTTTATAAAAATACTCCCACTATTTTAAAACTTTCATTAAAATAATGCGTTGTAAAATAAAATTTTAATAGAGGGACTAAGAAGAAGTTAAATTTTAAATTTTAAAGATAAAAAAAGAATTTTTTTAAATAAAGAAACTAAAAAATATATTTTTTCAAAGTAAGAGGACCAGATTAAGATTTTAACCATTTGAAAAATGTCACTTGTTTTTCAAGTCCAGATGAATAAGTTTTAAAGGAAGATTACGGAGGAGAGATGGCGAGCCAGCAATTGAAACGGAATTCCGAAACCGAGGAGGAGAAGAAGTCGTCGACGTTGGAGGGGTTGCCGCTGGAGAGCAGTCCACACGTGAAGTACGAGGATATTGAGGACTACAGGCTGAATGCATATGGAACCCAAGCCCACCTCCCAGTCAGGACCGGGCAAAGAGGTGGTGGCACAGACGCCCCAACCCTTTCCGGCAGTCACTTGTGAGGGGGTAAAGCATAGAGATAGCAATTTCCTCCGCCGACTCGCGGAAGTTCCTGGACATCCTTGCCATGGAAAATGGATATTCCAAAATTATTTCTTTCTTGGACGAGGATGGAGGCATTTTTTCTCCATAAAATTTTGTAAAGAATTTCGTGAGAAATTTCCTTCATCTTGTGAGAAACCATGAAGATACATATAAAATAAAAAATATATAAATTTATTTTTATATATATTTTAAATATATTATCAATTAACTTTTATTTATTCAACCTAATTAATTGACCAATCAATTCTTTTTTCAATTTTTGCAAATCCAATTATACATTCTGGTCCAGCCTAGCCCATAGTCCTCCTAAACTTAATTGCTCAAGCCTAACCGAATTTGCATTAGGAAGTAGTAACTCTAAAACTAGAAGGACTATTACCCATAGATAGATTTCAAATATGCAAATATATATATTTTAAATATATTAACAATTAATTTTTACTTATTCAATCTACTTAACTGACCAATTCATTCTTTTTTCAGTTTTTGCAAACCCAATTATACATTCCAGTTCAGCCTAGCCCATAGTCTTCCTAAACTTAATTGCTTAGGCCTAACCCAATTTGAATTAGTAAGTAGTAACTCTAGAACTAGAAGAACTACTACCCATAAATAGATTTCAGATTTGCAAATATATATATATTTTAAATATATTAACAATTAATTTTTACTTATTCAACTTAATTAACTGACCAATCCATTCTTTTTCAGTTTTTGCAAACCCAATTATATAGTCCAGTCCAGCCCAGCCCATAGTCTTCCTAAACTTAATTGCTAAGGCCTAACCCAATTTGCATTAGTAAGTAGTCAGGATCGGGCAAGGAGGTGGTGGCACAGACAACCCAACCCTTTCCGGCAGTCACTTGCGAAGGGGTAAAGCATAGGGATGGCAATTTCCTCCACGACCCGTGGAGGTTTGTGGATATCCCCACCACGGAAATGGAGATTCCAAAAATATTCCTTTTCTTGGGCGGAGATGGAGGCATTTTTTCCCCTGTAAAATTTCATGGGGAATTTCCTTCGTCCTGTGGGGAACCGTGGAGATACATTTAAAATAAAAGAAAATATAAATTTATTTATATATATATTTTAAATATATTAACAATTAATTTTTACTTATTCAACCTAATTAACTGACCAATCTATTTTTTTTTAGTTTTTGCAAACCCAATTATATAGTCCTGTCCAGCCCATAGTTTTCCTAAACTTAATTGCCTAAGCCTAACCCAATTTGCATTAGTAAGTAGTAACTCTAGAACTAGAAGGACTACTACCCATAGATAGATTTCAGTTCTGCAAATCTATAAACTACAATTCTTTCTCCTCTCCAGACTCTAGTCTCCTTTCCTCTACGCAGACTGCACTATAGCTCACTGGCTTTGTTTCTATTCTTCTATCAGTCAATTCCCTTCAACTTATCATTCTCAGCAACCTTCAAAAAGTCGTGCCCATAGCTCTGTTTCTATTCTTCAATCTGACAAAAAGAATTTTTTCTAAAATGTTGTTAACTTGTGATACTTGTTTTTGTTTCAGGAAGTTATTTCCTCAACTTGAAATTATCAATCAAGCTTAGTTTAAGTTGTTGTTACAAAGTTTGCTTTACTGGATTGGATGTATATGTACGCATGTGCCACTTATTAGACTCTTTTATGCCCATTTTCTTAATGAACTTATTGCTGGACATCTATGGCAGTAGTTTATGCATTTTTTTTCTATGAACTTTGTTGAATTTAGACTTATGTGACAGTTGTAGTTTATGCTCCTTTTGTTATGAACCTATTGCTGGATTTGCTGGACTTATATGGCAATTTATGCCTTTTTTTTTTTCTTTATGAACTTGTTGCTGACTTGCTAGACTTGCTTAACATGTATATATTGGCTGTTTATATTTAGTGTTTGTTTATCTTGTTTCAAATTTTTACTTTATATGATTATTTGAGCTAGTTTTATTTGATGAATGTGAAAACTAGTAAAGTCTAAGTAAACCCATGTTGAATTTAATTTTGATTAACAAGCAGCGAAAATTTTGATTAACAAGCAGCGAAAATTTTGATTAACAAGCAATAAAGTAAGTGATAGCTTTATTTGATAGGAACTTCGAATACTCATAAGGACTTATCATTTACCACGAGTATGGAAAAAGAGACTATATTTGATTTTTCACCAAAAATCCTTGTGGGGATCCCATACCAACCATTGACGGGAATGGAATGGGGATGGGGAGGAGGGTCCACACCTCGTGGGACCCATTGCCTGGTAAAGCAGCCCCCCACGATTAATGATGATGACAAGATCCCATTTTTCATCTTTTAAAAAGAGAGAAAAAAAATTGTTTCTTTTGTGTGCATTGTGAGGAGTTTTCAAGGCCTGGTTATGATGACTAGCTTAAGGTCATTAATATTTTTCTTTATTTTGTTAAATTATTTATTTGTTTATGTAATATAAATAATGAGGGTAAAGTTAGAAATAAATGTCTTTTTAAATTAAATGAATAAATAAATAATTTAACCAAATGAAATGAAGAATGTAACAATTATGCAGTTGCTATAATTGAATCAATTTTTACCTTGAAATTTATAAATCTTTTCATTTTTCAATTATGAATAAATGTTAGGCAAAACCATAAGTTAAGCCCCTAAACCGACCTCAGAATCGCAATTAAGCCCCCAGACTTTAATTGAAGCAGATAAGCCCCTGAACTCTGCGATTGGTGCAATTTAGCCCTTCTTCTTACGGCCAACTTAACTACCGTTAGGACCTCGCTTGCGTGGCAAAATTTTGCCATGTCATGCCTATGTGGCAAGTGATTTAGCATTTGGGTTGTCCACTTGGATGCCGCAAAAGAAAAAAAAAATTTCAGAACGAAGGGCAAACATAAAAGGAGGGGAGCCTCGGGGCCACTTCAAGTTCCCCGATCCCCTGAGCCCCACTTCTTAGGAAACGCAGAAAGATCAGGGATTAGGGTGTTTTTCGGAATGATTAGGGTGGTTTTTGGGGAATGATTTGGGTTTCTTTCTGGAATGATCGGGGTTTCTTTCTAAGAATGATCTGAGTTTTTTTTCTGGGGAACGATTAGGGTGGTTTTTGGGGAATGATTTGGGTTTCTTTCCAGAATGATCAGGGTTTCTTTCTAGGAGAGATTTGGGTTTTTTTCTGGGGAACGATTGGGTTTCTTTTCTGGGGAACGATTAGGGTGGTTTTTGGGGAATGATTTGGGTTTCTTTCCAGAATGATCAGGGGAGCGATCTGGGTTTTTTTTCTGGGGAACGAGGGCTTCTTTCTAGGAACAATTAGGGGTTTTGGGAACCTGAAATTGGGGATTTGGGATTCGAAACAATTTGGGATTAGGTCGAGTCATTGTTCTATATCATGAGTCAATCTATGGCTTTCTATGGATGCAGGAAGGACGTTCGATGGATGCGCTACTAGCAGTTTCGTTTCCTTTGAACTTTATGTTGGTACTGTATACACTAATATTTTTGAAAATTTTATTTATAGAACCTAGCTCTTTCTCTCTGTTTTATATGATGATAAACTGATAGTGAATGCATTTTCTTTGAATGGCATGATGGAGAAATCGTTGGAAGAGCACCTGATGTGATTCGGCATTTGAAAGAGGAAAATGAGTGGTTGAAGTCTCAACGGAAAAGGGTTCCAAGAGGACAAAGAGGTAACCTGAGTCACGTTGAAAATTGCATTGAGAATCTAAGGGCTGACTTGAGGGGGATGAATGTTGAAGGACGCATTGAGAAGGTGAGAGCTGATTTGAAGGAAATAGATTTTGAAAGGCCTATTGAGATGCTAAAGGATGAAATGTCCA